TTCAGCAGGTAAAAAAACGGCTCTCTTCTGTTTCATCCTTGCTGCACATTGACTAGCTTAGGGAGTGACATCTGTTTAGATTATTCCCTTGCACCAGAGGGAAACCTGCATCGTTGTTCCCATCGCTGCTCTGCCTCGAGTGTAACTGAGGTTGCCCAATATGAACCCATCAAAGTGATCTTCTCTGCTACTTTCCAAATTTCAGTGAGGCCTACATCTGCTCTGCAGTCCTGCAGATGAAAGACCGGAACGTGCATCTGCAAGCATGTTCAAACGCTGTCACTCTCTTCTCTTACAGCTACGAGCCCGAATTGTTTCCTGGCTTAATCTACAGAATGATCAAGCCAAGAATTGTTCTCCTTATTTTTGTTTCTGGAAAAGTGGTTTTAACTGGTAAGTGAAGACAGTATCTTACTCCAGTAGGTCAGATTTAGACTGTATTACAGAGAACACACAATGATACCAGAGGTGTGGAATTTGCGAGGCATTTTCCTTTGGAGAAGACAGTACCAAGAAAGAACAGATAGTACAGTATTCTGTGGGTGAGAACACACAAAGCAAACCACACGTTTGGCTAAATCCCTGTAAGCAATGATCACGAATCCTAATCAAGTATGCAGGTGCCCAGAAAGCTGTAAGAGCGCAGGTAGCGTTTCTGGCAAAATCTGAAAGTCTCTTTCTGTGTGCTGGGTGTGTGTGACTGAGCTAACTGTTCTTTGACAGCTGGGGGGGGGGCCCCTGCCATTCTCCTTTGATACAGCAGCCAAAGAATGGGAGATACCCGAGCTCGAGGACCGAGGACCGCCTCAACCTCGGGCACTCCACCTGCACCCTTCCTTTTCCCCTCGTGCTGAGTCTTACTACGGAGAAAAAAACCCCACAAGACTCGCAGACAAAAGGAGCAGCACATCCCCGCGGTGTGGCAAGTGGTGGGCCTCTGCAGCGGTCCCCGCTGCCGGACCTTGCTCCCCAGATGTTCACGCTCTCAAAAAAGCTCCACCGGTTAGGCCTTTCTGCAGCAACGTCCTCTAGGGCTGTGCTTTGTAGTTGGGTCTCCTGCGGAAATTACGTGTAGAAAAATCCCATTTGCAAGTATAGCATAAGCACAAAGATGCTAATTGAAGTTTTACCAGTTATCAGAAGAAACAGTGATAAGGCTGCTAACGTACGCTCTAGATGAAATGAGTATCTTAAAAAAAAAATAAAATTGTAAAAATGGGAATTTATGGATATTCATAGGTTTATATTATATGGAGTCGCATTCAAATAAACATTCTAAAGGCTAAAATTAAGTATTTGGCAGAAGGTACAAACTAACTTAATTTCCTCTCTTTTTCTAGGTGCTAAAGTACGAGCAGAAATCTATGAAGCATTTGAAAACATCTATCCTATTTTAAAGGGATTCAGAAAGACAACGTAACAGTTTCTACATCTTTCAGAGAAACCGGGGGGATATTTTAAAAGCTATTGCGTACGGCACAGCAGTAACAAGAGATGGACTTCAGTGAAACTGCAACATTTTTTCCCAGTTAGTGCCTACTTCCCTGATGCTCAAGGGGAACTGTATTGTTGATTACGTCTACTGAGTTACTGTGAGTTGCTTTACAGGGCTGTTCCTGGAGCAGTCCCTCCAAGTTTTATTTATATTCTAGCTTTTAAATCGTTCTAATGCCAGTTCTATTAATAGAAAATCCATAAGTTGGTTTAAAAGACAAATGCAACTGTGTCACTCAGTGTATAAACCACTTAAATTGCCATGTATATATGTTTTAACTTCCTTCCGTAAGACCATGGTTTTTATAATTTTCAGAACTTAAGCTTTTAAATTTTTTCAATTTTAGATTTCTTTGGTGCCAGACACATTCCCTCTTTCCAGTATTAAGCAAGACAGAATAAATTTATTAATGAAAATGACTCACTGTACATATATATATAATATATACCTTCCTTCTCTTTCCTCCTTCAGCTCCACATGTACAATAAACCCTGTTTATACAATTATGGGAACTGTCTTAATGAATTTTAAAATTACCCAGCTGATAGAGTGAAATACATTGAAAACTTTTTAATTTAATCTGGATTTTTCAATAGCACATGCACTACTGTAAGTGACTTCTCGTTTGAGAGCATCTTAACCATGCTCTGGCTTGCTTACAAGCAGTCATATCCTTGGCAACATCTAGCTTGAGTATTTCTAGTCTGTGAAAGCAAGAGAGATGCCTGGTTAAGGAAGTTTGTGTTCAGGTATGCGTTGCCTCGTGTTCAACAGATGGGATTTATGCAAGTCTTAAATAACTACACTTGACCGAATTGGAACAAGAGATCCCTGCTTAGCTTCTAGAATTTCTTTAAATTACTACTTTTGTATTTTACCAACTATGACAGTCTCACTATAGTAGCGTTCCTGTAAAATGTCAAAGCCCTTCCAACTAGAGTCAGTATGTACATAATCTCCCCTCTGAACTGTGCTTGAAGCTTAACGGGCTGAGAACTAAAAATAAACTTTTTTTTCTCCAGTAAATTTTCAGTAATAGTAACCTCCTTTCTGTGGCTTGCACGTTCTTTCAAACAGCTTTTATCTAAAACTAACCCCAATGCAACCGTGGTCTCTTTGTTGACTGAGTTGGTGTTTCATTCCAGACCAAATGAAGTTTTGGCTGGCTTTGCTACTACTCCGTTTGCAAATCCTGAGTGACCTTAATCCTTAGTCCTCTCTACTCCCTCCATAGTGGCATATACCGGTGTTTCTCCAGGCGTTTTAATAATTGGTGTCGTGGATCTTATCCGAAAGCTGCTGTTTAATAAGTTAGCCTTACCAGGGTAAGTTCAAGGTACCCAAACACTGCATTGCCTTCAGTGCCACCCAACTCTGTGCCGTGAGCTAATGAACATTCCTGAGCGCTCTTGAACATAACTCTATGACTGTCCGTGCTCTTGCAGGACCGTGAACGATTACCAACTTACCTGCAAAACTCTCTAACTCTGCGGGAAAACTTGGAGCCTTAAGTAACTGTGGGATGGCTTTCAAGAAAATCAGTGAAGCTGTACTACAATGACTTAAGATACTGTTTGCTGTTCCGTGATATGTACCAAGGCTTAAAACTACCCTTTTAGAAATTAAGTTCTGTGATGACCAAACAGCTTATACATAAAGCATTCCCTGCCCGCTCATTCGAGTATTTCCAACATCTAAATTAATACAAAACAAACCCCAACAGTGGGCTTAGGGCTTTCAAAAAATCACCTTCAGAATCACTGGTAAGCAGACATGAATGGTTTGAGCAGGATAAGGGAACATGCAGCTGAAGTAAATTCTATACTGAGACACCAGAAGAAAAAAAGCAGCCTTATCTTTTCTGCAACTGTAGCTATAGCCACAGGAGTAGTTAAGCAACTACCACAGTAAATTCAGCATTATGGTTTCACTTCTCTCTTGCCTCAGCTATGTGGCAGTCAAATATCAGAAGAATCCCTGCAGAAGGCACTTATTTTTGAACTCCACCAAAGATGGCAGACTTGAGGTACAATTCAGCTTGAAAATCTGCTGCTACCGGCAGTAAGTGACGAGACAAACATGTTCTGGTATGGCTGGCTCGGTTTAAACTGCTTCTGCACCAGACAGTCCCATGCAGAAATAGTTAAAACTATTAACTGAGTTAAAGTCAGATAAAACAATTCTTGTGCATTTTACCTTGAATAACGACTCAATCAGAACATGTAACAACTGCCAGGTTAGAATCAGTGTACCTTTTGGGAAAGAGAAGCAGGTTTAAGTTCCACAGTGAAAGTACGCAGCTTTGTCTTAGCTGTGACTTCTGTACGCCTCCTGAGCATAAGCACTCAAATGATCCTACAGCAGCCTGCTTTTCTCTGCGAATTAACTTTTGAGTAGCGCAAAGAAAATCCTCACAGACAACAATTAAGTTCCTGAAGTTCAGTCACCAACAAAAGATATTTCTACCAATCCAAAAATATTTCATCTTTATTTCAACATTCAGAATTGAGATTTGAAGAGAAATTCACTGAACAAATGCATCTGGCTTCATTACCAGGTTGAAGCAGAAGCTCCTGTGGAGCACAGGAGAGAGGCTGCCAAGGCCTACTTTCCGTGGGTCTATCGCTGTTAGAGATAGGCAGCTATCCGTGACTTCAGGTCAATCACCTATTTGCCAAGTGCAGAGATGCACTGAAACAAGGCAAGTACTCTATTTAGATGACTCAGCGTAGTAACTCGAGGGCAGTTAAACAGAGCCTGCAGAGAAGTCTTGTTTCCATATGAACTCTTCCAGGTACTGATTTCCCTCACCGCAGTTGTCGGCGCAGGTGTACACCACCAGCGTTCCCCAGTCAATGCTCTCTCCAAGGCTGTCAACCTGAAGGTGGTTCAGGAGCTGTGGCATAATCTTCAAGGAAAAACAAGGGTTTAGAGGCAGGCCGCGGCCCTCCACCCTCTCCCTGCGTCTCTTCCCAAAGAAGGGTCCAGCCGTCGTTTATGTTCTCTTACACCAAAATCCCAATCAAAGCTACTAAGTAACACAGCAGCTCAAACGAAAGAAATTTGGAATTCCCAAAACAGTGTAGCAGATGCACAGGGAATGGAAGGCATGGCCCTAATTATTTTATCTACAGAAGTTTTATTTGACTAAGCGTTGCCTGATTTGTAACCCTCCTTCCATAATTATGTTTTGTCTTTGCATGACATTAAGTGTATTCACCATACATAATGCTTCTAGCATTCAAAATTTTACAGCTGAATGCTTCCAGCCAGCCATGTTTCCAATTTACATCATAAAGGCTTTTTTTTTTTTTAAAAAATACACAATATCAGACTCCTATTACTTAAGAGATAGGTCCATATTCACAAGTGCACCGTTTTATGGATGGTGCAAATTATCAGATGGGAACCTACCTTCTCTGTGTGAAAGTCTTATAGGAAAAAGCAGTTACAATAGTAAATAAAGGCTCTGTACAATTTAGCGAGTTAGTTTGTAGCAACTTCAACTACCTTGCTCTAATTACAAGCCAACACCTACAGAATTTGAGCCTGTTAAGTCTGAACTACACTACCTATATTATCTTTACATTAACTTACATACCTGGAATTCAAAAATCCTTTTGGCACCACACGAACAATTTGGGATATCTTTTTCTTCAGGAATATTTTCACCTGATACCCAGATTGGGCCTTCTCCTCCTCTGCAGTATCTAATAATCTGAAACAGAGCAGCAGTTTAAGTAAGTTCTCAAGACTGTCTTTTCATCTTGGTATAAAATTGGTATTTACTGACATAGACAAAGCAGTAAGATGGTGCAGAACAAGGTCAGTTCCTTTAAGCAATACCCACGGCAAAGTCTATCAGTTGCAGATGCGGTATTCTAAGTAAGACAGTTTCTTTATAGAAAACTTTCTTAACTGTGTGAATCATGCATGTATTCATACAGCATTTTTTCAATGGCGCAGGGATAAATTGCAATGATTTGATTTCTCTCATTAAGGGACCCAGAAATGGTAGGTCTGGTATTTTATAGCCTTGAGACGGAGGAACAGCAGACCGATAGATCAGCAGACAGCCGTCTGCAGAAGAGCCAGGAACGCAACCAAGCTCTTTCCGTTTGCAGTTCTGCATCTAAATGCAAGGGGACTGTCCCAGCATCCGAGGAGGAGGTATTTTCAGACACTCATGTCCCTTGCTGTTCTGTTACTATCTAAATATGTATATAGCAAATCAGGCATCATCAACAAGAGGACTCTCACGCAGATCAGTCAGTACGGGGGTGATCAGAGAGGGAGGTGATGCACCTACCCCAAACAGGAGGGAACAGACTCAAAGTCTCCCGCTTTCTGGATGTGCACCCTCACCCCTCAGCTATGAGGTAAAACATGGAGAGAATTTCTTCTTCCTCCACCACTTTCATGGATTTAGGCCTGTGTTTCCTCTGAATGGAACCAGGAACCATGTTTCTGTTTGACAATGTGGCTTTTTTCAGCCTCTTGTCATAGAATCACAGAATGTCCTGAGTTGGAAGGGACGCACAAGGATCATCGAGTTGAACTCCTGTTCCTGCATAGGACAACCCCAAAATTCACACCATATGTCTGGGGGCGTTGTCCAAATGCTTCCTGAATATTGTCAGGCTTGGCGCCATGACCACCTCCCGGGGGAGCTTGTTCCAGTGCTCCACCACCCCCTGAGTGAAGAACCTTTTCCTAATGTCCAACCTAAACCTCCCCTGGCACATCTTCCTGATGTTCCCTTGGGTTGTGTTAGCAAGAAATAGCAATGGGGGAGCTTTCTGTTTAAAATAGTTGAAATTTTAAAGCCATCACTAATTTCTTCAACCTCCCCCCCCCCTCCTCCATGCAGCTGGTGACTGTGACAGAGCTCCTCTCTGAAGTTTTGGCTCTGCTGAGGAGGAAAGCCAACAGGGCCAAAGGCTGGGGAAGAGAGCGATGGTTCCCCACCCCCTTCGGTTAGAACCACTTCACAGGATGGCAGGTCCTCCCCCCACCGTGTCGGCTTCAGCGCCCCTGTGCCTCCTCATCCTGGCCAAGTTCTGTGTGAGGCAGAGGAGCAGGTCCTAAATTCTTACTTCAGCGTGAATCAAGTTCTGCACGTAAGGAAGATTAGGGTATGTTGGTTAAGGTGTGCGGAGGATGAGGAGGCATCCCCATCACCATTTCTAACCGTAGGTATGAAAGACAGTGAAACATTTTGCAGGTGCAAGCAGGATGCTCAGCCAGAACCTGTGAGTTCTACGGCTGCCCCATCTTCTGACCTGCTCCGGTTCGGCAGCTACTCGCTCTTTAAACATTTGGAAGATCTTGTCTTCTTTAGTCTCATGTTTTGCCATTGCTTCCAATGTCTCTTCATCTAAGGACTGAAATGCTTCACCTAAGCAAGAAAAAAAAAACCAAAAACAAAGGTTAAAGGCTAATGCAAGACAGCCAGAAATTAAAAACAATACTGTAAGTGCATTTTGCTCTCAAGAATCGTTCCCTGTGTAAATCACTACGACTTCTTTTTTTCTTTTTCTAACACATTAAGATTCAGTCACTCACATACCCATTTACTAGTTTTAGCTGCATTTTAAACGTAGATGTCAGCAGCGGAACTCTGGAAAGGAAAGGAGTTAATCTACCAAAGTTTATGGCTCCCAGCGGGGATCGCTGAGGCTGCTGACCCTTCCGCATGTGACATCTGGGCAAGGCCACCCGTGCCGTGCGTGTGCCAGACGCCAGTTTCCAGCACCGAAGGGTGTCTCTCTCACACTCCCACGTTCACATCAACCTGGGGCACCGGGCTGTCTCGAGACAGCCTTAGCCCACAGTAAGGGACAGCGGGGAACCCAGCAGCCTTCCCCCGTACCAGCACGAACTCTCCACCCTGGGGGTGTGCAAAGCCGGTGGGGTGAGCTGCACGCACCTCGTCAGTTCTGGGGCGGGGCGGGGGGCCTGCACTTCCAACTGCTTAATTCACGGTCAATTAAAATAGCCTCAGAACGGTTTTCTTCTAGCACAGACAAGGAGATTCATTAAGCATTTTCCGTAAATTAAGACAAATTGAAGCAAGTCAAGCCAAGCCGATCTAACTCAGTCTCCTGGTGCCAACAGTGTCCAGCAGCAGCCCCTCAGGGCCCTGTTTTTCCCACTGGAGTTGTTCCTTACCTGCGGGAAGCCCACAGGGACACAGTGTAACTCCCAGCTACCTGCAGCTTCATTGCAGCAACAGCCGCTTCAACAGCTCCTGGGGCTGCGGCTTAGTAAGTCTCTCCCCTTGTATTATGCAACTTGTATTACGGGATGTGTACAAAAAACCTGCATCGCAAATGACTGTAGATTTAGCCTTTTGTCACCAGTAGTTAACAATGAACACTTAAAAATCACAGTATTTTATATTTTAAAGATGTCATACCGGCTTCATTAGGAAGAACTACAGACAGCATCTTATTTCTTACCTGCACCGCCTATAGCTCTCAGTTCCTTTTGTTCTTTCGGGTCCTCTGATGTATCTCCAGCTCCTTGTTCATCATCAGGATCTACGCTGTCAGCATTTTTTTTCAGCAGGAAATTCTGGTTCCTCAGGTTCTATCAAAATTTCATATTCTGGAAAAAGGAATTCGTTATGCTCGGGAACTGCATCCGCCGAGTCATCTACAAAACAGAAAACAGATACCACTTCACAACGTCACCTCATATTACGCGTCCTTCTCCCCAAAAGCTACACGGCAAACCACATAGCAAAAATACAGCACAAACACTGCATAAGCAAGAGTGATTTACATCACTGCTAGACCTGATTTAAAGATAAGGAAGATTTTGTATTAAGGACAGTAGAAAACGACAATAGGTGATGCGTTGCTTTGAATCTTTGTAAATCTACGAGATGCAGAAGACGGACTCAACAGTGTTAGCAGCTGCATTTTAAAAACCAAAACCTGCAGCTGGACAGCTCTGTGCGTATCTCACTCCGCCTAGCACACGCGCACAAGCCAAGCGTGCATCAGACGCCCTGAGGCCGTACCGTTTTTTCTTATTTTTCCTTTGGATATTGTGAGTAGGCAAAGCTTCCACAAATGCATCAAGCGTACCTTCTGTAATGACGGTATTAACTACGTGCTGGTACGTTTCAGGTTTTCACTGTTTCAATTAAATGTTTCAAATGTCTGACCCATAACTTGATTTGCACAAATCGACTCCTAACGTTCTGCTTATTTCCACTTCCTACAATCCAAAAAGTTTTTGGGACTTGCACCCCACACTGTATGATGGGAGACAGATCACACACACCGCGTTTATTCGCACCATTATTAATGTGATACTTCTGAAGACTCAAAAACAGACTTTAAATACTCTGTACGTGTCCCTTTAACAACCAGCAGACAAACAAGCGTATGAACAAGAGGAGAGCAGGAGAGGGGATGGTTTAAGAAAAGGCTCTCTAAAATAGCACACTCGTGGGAGCTACTCTTTTCATCTACTGACCGTCACAGTACTCTGTGAAGGCATCACCTCTGTATGTTCCTTTACAACTTATGAATAAGCCATCTTAAAAGTAGCCTGCAAAGGGAAAAAAAATTGGTCTACATCCTTCCAGCTTTTTATGACATGAGGCGGACAGAAAGAGGTCTTTGAAAGAGACCACAGGTACGCCTTACATTTATCGGCCTTCCAGGAGTAACAAAGATCCCACGTTCTCGTGTCACATGAAGTAAACTTCTAAGAGAAAGAAAAGCATCTGCTCTCTGCTACCTTTTCCGACTTACTGCTTGTTTCCTTACAAACGATAACGCAAGAGATGGGCCCTTCTTTTCTCCCTCCTCTGCAGGCCCCTACCCCAGCAACACGCAGGTCCGGCCGGCTCTGCAACGGCACCGTGCCTGCCGCCACAGCTCGGACGCGACGGAGCCAAGGGCAAACCTGCAGCGGCCCCCCGGCCCCACCC